AAATTCAACAAGACTTTTCTAACCGGACGTGCTTCAGGAACGGGCGGACAAAGAGTAGCCATAAGCCAAACACCGAATCTGCTCAGCATTCGACGTTCATCGGCCATGCGATCTATATCCCGACCCAAACTGTGACCCCCTTCCAGTTGCCTTAACCATTTCGGACGTTTACCCTCGTTTTCGGTTCCTTCAATCCGAAATGCTTTTGAAGCGAATGATGAATCTCTCACGCATAAATGAAAATGAATAATCGTGACAGCAAAGTAATTTACTGATAAACATTACTTTGGTCTGAGATGGGCAAATATTGGCAGAATTATTGAACAGAATCAATCAACTGAGGACATAAGTCATTGGATGTATTGATGAAAAAGAGAATTTTACTTAAGAATCTAGATGGTTAACGACAGACGCATGATAATGTGCTTCAAAAAGTCAGTCAGTCCCTAATTAAGCGATGAATTTCCGTTGCGACGCATTCACAGAAGTACTATGCTCGGTTATTCAATCAGTAGCACTGTTCTCATGTTACATACTAATTTTGAAGAATGTCACCTAATTAGCGATTCTTGTTGTTGTGTTTGCATTCAGTGCAATGAGTGTGTCCAACTGAGGCCTAATTTAATCGACTGATCGTGAGTGAATAAAAATTATTGAAAACGCAGTATGAAACTATCAACTGACAGCGCTTTGTTTTTACAGATGCGTTGTGAACGTTACCATAATTCTAGAAAACTTCAACAGAAAATTTCGTGTTTTGCTCCTTTCTTGGACTGTCATTTCATAATACTTGATGTTTTCTGGTCTGGAATCCGTTAGATCGATCAACGTTACCGTATGAAAGTCGTCATCAGTGACTTTGATCGCCAAATGAATAACAATTCATTCAGAATCGAACCAATTATTTTCTTACATTGCGTAAGATTAGTGAGGATCAACAAAAAACAAAGAACTGAAGCATTCGGTCACCTTCGAGATTGCCCGAAGTTTCCTTCAATAGTTTAACGACTGCTTCAACGATATCTCTCTCAAGAGGCGATCCCCAAGCACTCTGCATACCCTTGTGCTGTATATGTGGAACTACAGTACCAGCGTGTAATGCCGTAAGACATTCCTGGAATTTATTTCGGTGCATTATTCTTGTGTGAGTTACTTTCCACTCGTTCAGTGCGACATAAGTCAAATGTTCCTTGCACACCATAAGTTCTCCTGTTTAGATCAGTGGTTCTCACGTTCGGGTGCTGCATTACCCTTTTGATGATCTCGTAGGCCGCCATTACCCCCTCTCCCCCTTCCCGAACCCCCAAATTACCCAAAACGGGTAATTTCACTGCCTACGAGAGTCACTATCCTAAACCGTCGTGTTGCTCATTATTGCAATCGATTACGAGTGCATGAAAAGCTATTGTCTATGGCATGCTCACTTCAAACTGATTCAGATGGAGTCTCATTCTTTTCGGA